TGGTCTACCTTAAATTTTTAGGACGTGACACTATCCGTCCATGGAACTCTACCTATCGCTTCGTCTTTCACCACCAATGAATGGGATTTTGGCCATACATAGCATGGTCTGTAGCTTCACCGAAGAACAAACCCTCCAAAGCCATCGCAGCTACCGAAGCAAGAGATGGAAGATGAGAACGGACCGGAAGTGACAATGGTTAATGGAGAATGAAATGGAGGTGGTGGTCGGAGAGAAGAAATCAGAGGTGAGAAGCGGTGAGAGAGCCAATGGAGATTGATGTTGTGATTACTGACTAATAGTAAAACTGATACTTAATAGGCATTCCATGCTCTTTCAAACGGTGTTTTGATGCTCTAGGTAGCTTCAAGTGGAATCCTAGATTAACTCATTCACCTGTGGGATATGTCTCCTACACAGCTTTTGAAGGGATGTGCTCTCTTGATTGGGTTACAAAACCCCCATCCCTGCTTAACCTTTTCCAGGTGGCTCGGAGTTGCTTGGATTGTCCTCTTTCTTTTGCTTTTTCTGTGCTACCCTTGTTCATGGTTTTGTATTTCGACTTGGTTCTGTCTGCTCATATCTTGGGCTGCATTAATTTTTGTTTTGCTTCCTTTCTTGAATTCTATGTACTTCCAAACTTGAGTTTTAATACTATATTACTGTGGTTTGTGCAGGGAAAAAAAAGAAAGAAAACAGAACTAGAAGGAAATTATTCTTGTACATGTAGATATTCCCATCGCTTATTGCAATAGATTGTAACAAATACTAAAAATGAACCATTTATATAGCATGAAACTCCTACTATTCCAAGCCTTTGGATACATAATTCCTCAACTTGGTTATCCTGGATAACCTTTTAAGAAAGAAGCATGTTAATGATTGGATGGCGTGCTCTACACATGGCCTCTAAAGGAATAACTTTTGGCATGGTGGCTCCTGCTCCTTCTGTCATGTCAATTTCTTCCTCACTTACCCGTTTCCATTCAAAGCATTGAATCAATAATCCCAAAGTCAAGCTCACTGTTCGTTGGGCTAAACTTTCTCCAGGACAAGCTCGTCTTCCCAACCCAAATGTAATTAGCTTGTTTGCTTCTCCTTCTTTCTCAAACCTCTCTGGCTTAAAACTCGTTGGATCACTCCATAACTGGGGATCTCTATGGTTAGCCCAAGCATTGATTAACACAATAGTTCCACGAGGAACATTATATCCTGAAATGGTGCAATCATTCGAAGCCTCATGTGCAATCAACAATGGTAGGGCAGGATGCAATCGAAGTGTTTCAGAGACAATGTTTTGCAGGTATGGAAGTTTTGAGATTTCTGGCTCATCTATTAATCGTTCTTGCCCTATATGTGTGTCTATTTCTTTCTTTGCTTTTTCCAACACATGAGGATTGTTTAATAAACTTGACATTGCCCATTCTAAAGTCACAGATGAAGTATCCGTTCCAGCAAAAACCATGACCTATAAGTCAAAATTAACAAAGTAATCAAAATCAGGGAATACAAATTTTATAATCAACTTTTAGAGTAAATTGAGTAAGTGGTCACATTACGATTTTAATGTATATAGTATATTTTGCGCTATGCTGCAATAAAAGGAGAAGGCAAATTCTTAATTAAAAGCTAAGTGATCTAAAGTACATGTTCTGCTTGACCATAAAAAAAAAAAAAAGTACATGTTCTGCGAGATCAATATCAAATTGTGCGATGATTTCTATCTGGGCTTTTTGTGTGTGTGTGTACAAAGACATAATGTTGTAGAGTTTTGCACTGCTCATAATGTACAGTTATGCAATTCCCTTTTTATCCTGGGGTCCATCTGTATTTCCAAAATCGAATTAAATACTCTCCCACACCCACTGTCTATCTCGATAGATATTTCCCTTTTCCTATTTACTTAATCCTTTCACAATATATGTACTGGCCAAAAAAACCTTTCACGAGATATATTAATTAAAAATGTACAAATAACATGTTTAACCTTTGAAACTTAATAACAAATCCCCCTAAACTATCAGGTCTATGCAAATAACTTCAAACTAATCAAAGAAAACTCTATTCTTCTTGTCCTATTTATAAATATTTACTTCCAACATGTTTCATATGGACTAAAGAAAACTCCAACCTTTATTAACTCATTTAAAATTCAACAACTTTTCAACTTTGTTCCTATTTAATATATATTATACCTCATGTAAATAAAGTTAATATAATAATAAATAAAAGATAAAATTATATATCTGTATAAAAAAAATTTCTTAGTGCCCTATAAAGAGGACAAAAAAATATCTTCTTTCTTTGCCCATTAAATAGGACTAGATGAGTGCTTTTTTATGCATATATAACCTCTCAAACTTGGAATTATATGCATACAAACCCATAAATTTTAGTTGATTTGCAAATAAATAACAAATAAAGTTAATGGTATGGAAATTATATGCATGAATGCAAAATTTCAGGGAGATTCATTATAAGGTGTTAAAGGTTAGGGAGGTTATTTACATATGACATAAACTTTTAAGTTATCAACTTCAACATAGGTTGCATGCAAGCACATCTTAATAAAATGTAATCAAAAGATATCTAACTGCGTGCAATAAAAAAGGTAAAAGCATTCTTTACTTTCACTTACCAATATGAGGCCTTTAATAATCTGATCCGTATAGTACTCAGGCTGTGATTCTTGGAGACTCAAGAGATGATCGATCATAGTATTTGCTCTCTGCTTTGCGCGTCGATGCTCATCAATGAGTCCTTGAGAGAACCCATCGGCTCTCTTGGCCAAACCCTTGAGCTTCTTCTCCAAGTGACCAAAATCAAACCACCAAAGTATGGGCAAGAAATCTGCGCTGTTATTTACCCCTCCTAGCGACACCAATTCCTTTATAATCTGTCGAATCTTTCTGGCCTCTTCCACATCCCCAACCTCGTTGTCGTCTCCCCAATACCTTTTGCCAGAAATCATTCTCATTATAATGTTGAAAGTCAACTCTGAAAATCTTGATTTCATCTCCACTTTGAGGAATTGATCCTTGTGTACTGATTCTTGAGCAAGCTTTTGAACCAGCCGCTTCACCTCCTCTCTTCGCATTTCCAAGAATTTGTTGAGACGGTAGTTCGAGAGCACCTCAAGCGCTGTGACGCGGCGGAGGTTGCGCCAATGGTCGCCATAGGGAGCCAACGTTAAGGTGGTGCAGTTGTAGGCAACATACTCTCCGATGAGAAACCGGGGGCGATTTGCCAGGACGATGTCGTTTTTGGTGAAGCATTCTTGGACTGCGGACTGCGATGAGACAATGACAAAGAGGCGAGAGCCAAACCAAAGAGAAAAGACTTCACCATAACTTTGAGAAATCCTGTGTAAGGCTTGATGGAGTGGCTTTTCTAGTTGGTGAAGATTGCCGAGTATGGGAAGAGAAGGTGGGCCAGGTGGGATGTTTGTGAACTTCTTATTTTGAAGAAGGAGCTTGAGAGCAAAGAAGAAAGCAAGAGAAAGAAGGGAATAATAGAACAAGAAGGTGATCATTATTCTTAGGTAGTTCCCTTTTGTTGAGTACTTAATGGATTTGAGTCATGGAGACGTGTGTGTTGGTATTATATATAGAGCGGCTTTGCATTTGAGCTCACTTAATGCTTTCAATTAATCTTAAGGATACATGTCGTTCAAGACCCAAAAGTTCCAGCTAACTTCAGTCACTGATATATGAGCCAGTGTGAGATTTAGATTTAATCTTAAATATAAGATGTTATTTCATTTTTTATCTCATATTTATTATTTTCCTCCAAACTAATTTACCTAATTTATATATTCAAATATAAAATAATATTGTTATATGAAAATATCTTAGAAAGACGATATGATATTTATTTGGGTTCTTTAAATTAGTTATATTTGTTTAGTGCTCTCCTCTCAATTCTTGTCCTGGCTCGACGACTTGGTGATTGGCGGTTGAGAGTAAGCAAAATTTGTCTATTTCTTGTAGTTGTGTCGTTTTCGTTGCCTCTGCGTTATTGAATGTAGATTTTGTCTGAAAGTAGTGCAGACTGCATATGTACTATCACCTGTCATCACGAGCTGATGCTAACACATTGGCCACCGACAATTCACCTGATTCTCAACAATGCCAAATATTTATGCAAATTTTCTCAACATTTAGATTGATTTAGTCTTGTGATAAATGCTTCTAAGTCTTTGGCCACTATTTAAATTGATTTGGTCATTGATTGCGTTATACTTGAGAGAGATAATCTAGGTGTAGAAATTGAATAAAATCATTCTTGACTTGAAATTAAATTTACTTATTGAATGGATAGTTCTGTTAGTAAAATAGAGATGTTTTTATTAACCTTGCATTGTCACCCTAAGGTTGTTGCTATTGAATTTATTAGTTGTATTAAGAGATTGTGCAATTTGATGAGAGTATATAAACATGATTCCAATTTGAGAGAGCTTTTTCAAGTGCTCTTAATCTTAAACTAACACATATTTTTATTAAAAATCTATTGAAGAGGAAATTAATCAATTGTTATAGAGTAAATAGGGGAGAAATAATCTACACTCTTACAGTAGAAGTTTCATTTTTAAGTTTCATTATTGAGTTAAACACCGATAGTCTAAAGAATTTCTTTTTAGTAAGTTTAATAACAATGAATTAATATATATCAACCGCAATGAAGGTTCGATGGCAAGTTTTAACCCGTTTTTGCATTAATCCTCATGGAAAGAATAACTTTAGTCAACTTCACTGTTTGTAACGACCCGTACGTTTGTGGTATATGCTTGGCGGCGAACACGAACAAAGCAATATGATTTATAATAACCAAGAAAAAGAGAACTAAATGGGAACTATTGGTGTACATAAAGATGGATGTTCTCGTTCGCTGATTGCCACAGATTGTGCCAAAGACTAAAAATTCACTTTTCATAGTATGAAACTCCCGCTCACAACTCCACACCAGTGGATGCAATTCCTTAACTTAGATCAACATTAATTTTAACCAAAAAGCATGTTAATAATTGGATGACGTGCTCTGCACATGGCCTCTAGAGGAATAATTTTTGGCATGGTGGCTCCTGCTCCTTCTGTCATATCAATTTCTTCCTCACTCACCCGTTTCCATTCAAAACATTGAATCAACATGCCCAAGGTCATGCCTATTGTTCGTTGAGCTAAACTTGCTCCAGGACAAGCTCGTCTTCCTAATCCAAATGGAATTAGCTTGTTTACCTCTCCTTCTTTTTCAAACCTCTCTGGCTTAAAACTTGTTGGATCACTCCATAAGTGGGGATCTCTATGGTTTCCCCAAGCATTGATTAACACAATAGTTCCACGAGGAACATTATATCCAGCAATGGTGCAATCATTCGAAGCCTCATGAGGAACCAACAATGGTGCGGCAGGATGCAAACGAAGTGTTTCAGAGACAATGTTTTGCAAGTATGGTAGCTTTGAGATGTCTGGCTCATCTATTAATCGTTCTTGCCCTATATGTGTGTCTATTTCTTTCTTTGCTTTTTCCAACACATGAGGATTGTTTAATAAACTTGACATTGCCCATTCTAAAGTCACAGCTGCACCATCCGTTCCGGCAAAAACCATGACCTATGAGTTAAGTTAGCAAAGTGAAATCAGTTACTACAAGTTCTATAATCAATTTCAGACCAAATTTAAGGAGCGTCACATGACATATAAATCAAATTATTAGCAAAGTAAGATCAGTTACTACAAATTTTATGATCAATTTCAGACTAAATTTAAGGAGTGCCACACAAGTACGAGTTTACGGTACTATATTTCGCTATGTTGGAATACAAGGAAAACGCAAATTCTTACAAGTTAAGTGATCTAAAAGTACACTTTTTATATATGGGATCATTATGAAATAATACGATGATTAGTTTCGTACCACTCGGAAGGCATAGTTTTGCACTATTCTTTTTATCATGGAATCCGATCCATATGTATTTCCAAAATCCAATTAAAAACTGTCCCACGTTTACTATCTATTTCGTTAGATATTTTCCCTTACTCTATTTACACAATCCTATTAATTAAAACTACGTACAAATAACCTCCTCACCCTGGAAACTTTATACTATCTCTGGTATTTAATATAAGAGTTAGTTAGGGGGTTTAGATTTGATCCTGAAAATAAGACCCAGTTTACTTTGTCTCCCAAGTTTATATTTTTTCTCTCAAAGTATCCCTATTGATTGTATGTATTAATTGAGAAGCTTCCTACAAAGAGGTAGTTCCAGTGCACATTGTTAAAATGTAATTTAGAAAAGCCAACACACATTTGCTGTAAATAATAACCAGCTCAACTAATTTTTTTAATATCCACAAATTAGGTATTTAGCTTTTACATTAAAAATTGGAATTAGGAATAAATAATCTCAAAATACCAATTTTATACCCTTCAAACTTTATTTTATATGCATACATAAACCATAAAACTTGGAGCTATGTGTAAGAATTCAGGGAGGTCGATTATGAAGTTTCAAAGGCCATAAAGATTATTTACACAAGACATAAAGTAAGGTTTTGAATAATTTAGCTTTTATTCCTTCAAATTTTTTCATAATTAACCGTCAATAATTCAGCTACAAGTACAACAAAATGTAGCAAAATGCTGAGCATGCTCAAGCAACTTGAAGATATATCTAACGGCATGCAATAAAAAACGAAAAAACATTCTTTATTTTCGCTTACCAAAATGAGGCCTTTAATAATCTGATCAGTATAGTACTCAGGCTGTGATTCTTGGAGACTCAAAAGATGATCGATCATAGTGTTTGCTCTCTGTTTTTCATATCGATGCTCATCAATAAGTCCTTGAAAGAACCCATCGATTCTCTTGGCCAAACTCTTGAACCTCTTCTCCAAGTGACCAAAACCAAACCACCTAAGTATGGGCAAGAAGTCTGCAGTGTTATTTACCCCTCCTAGAGACACCAATTCCTTTATAATCTGTCGAATCTTTCTGGCCTCCTCCACATCCCCAACCTCGTTGTCGTCTCCCCAATACCTTTTTCCAGAAACCATTCTCATCATAGTGTTAAAGGTCAACTCTGCAAATCTTGATTTCATCTCCACTTTGGCAAACTGATCCTTATTATGTGAGTCTTGAGCAAGTTTTTGCACCAGGCGCTTCATCTCGTCTCTTCGCATTTCCAAGAATTTGTTGATACGGTGATTCGAGAGCACCTCAAGCGCGGTGATGCGGCGGAGGTTGCGCCAGTGGTCGCCGTAGGGAGTCGATAGTAAGGTGGTGCAGTTGTAAGAGAAATACTTAGCGGTGAGAAAGCGGGGCCGATTTGCCAGGACGATGTCGTTTTTGGTGAAGCATTCTTGGATTGCTGACGGTGACGAGACAATCACAAAGAGACGAGAGCCAAACCAAAGAGAAAAGATTTGACCATGTCGCTGAGAAATCCGATGAAAGTCTTGATGAAGTGGTTTTTTCAGTTGGTGGAGGTTGCCGAAAATGGGAAGAGAAGGGGGACCGGGTGGGATGTTTTTGAAGTTCTTATTTCGAACGAAGAGGTTGAGAGTGAAGAAGAACGCAAGAGAAAGAAGGAAATAATAGACCAAGAAGCCGATCATCATTGTTTGGTACTTTTCTTTTGTGGAGTACTTTTAATGATGCGAATCGATTTGAGGCATGGAGCCAAGTGCGTTGGTGTTATATATATAGCTGACCTGTTGATTGGACTAAAGTGTAAATGTGTTTTTGGAAGTATTTATTTAGAAATGTTAGACACCTGAAAATTTGTACCCAAATAACTTTTAGGTACTCAATATTTTAGAAAAAGATTTTCAAAACAAATTTGTATCTTAACTTTTTTTTAAATAGTACTATACAATAACCTGAATAACATCTGAATATTGATTGACAATCATTAAATAAAGATAAAATAAAGTGTCATGTAAGTTTTTTTAGCAAGTAATATCTAGATGTAAGGCAAGGGATTTCTAGCACCCCACTTTCTAATATCCTATGTCCTAACTTTTTAAATGTATATTTATTTTTATTGATTATTAGAATCTATACAAAATAAAGTGATATTTTAATATTTTATTACTATGAAATAATACAATTTTTAATTCTTTATATTTTTAAAAATACTACTTTAAAATTATGTGGTTTTATTTTTCTAAAAAAAGTCATAAAAAATTTAACAGAAAATGACTAAAAAGAACTTTGAAAATATGAAATTTAAAAGGGATAGCTAACATTTGCAAAGAAAGGAGGGAAAGCTTGAATTTTAGTTAGATGAAAATGTGTAAAATGACTAATATGCCTTTGTATTGGTTTGGGATTGCAACATAAATTAACTAATTTAGAATACAAAATGACAATATCCTTTTCTCAGGGAACAAAAACATCTATTCATTTAGGAAAATGACTAAATTTAATTTGAAAATAACAAGAGTGAAACATAAATTAACAAGTTCAAATAATATAATAATAACATCTTTTTTTTTTTTGAGCTTCACATAAGGCTTGCTCTTGTTCCTTGTTACTTGAAACTGTTAGCTGCCCTTTTTCAAATTTCCTATTTTTAAGGTGTTTTTAGTCATTTTCCAAAAATTTAAAACGGTGTTATTTTATACATGAAACATATTGAAATATCACTAATTTTATTTTATGTAATAATAAAATTAAAAAATATATTTAAATAGTTGAGAGGGTATAAAAGACAATAGAGAGTGGGGGTATTAAAAACCTGCTTTAAGGGTGGTCAAATATACAATTAACTCTCCAAGTTTGTCAGGGCTGGAGGAAGGGGCGATTGGTGCTTGAGGGTAAGCAAAATTTGTCTATTTCTTCAAGTTTTCAGACTACTATCACCTATCACATCCTGATGTTAACACAACACATCTCAACAATGCCAAATATGTTTCCAAATTTTCTCAACAAGGACACATCTGCTCGTGATGAAGGCGAGGGTCATGAACTCATATTGATCTAATTATGTAAATTTGATGCTAAATGGTTTAGACTTAGAATTTTTAATTTATAATTTTTAAATTGATTAAAAAAATTATTTTTATTTTTAGTTTTGTAGTTAATAAAATATATAGGAAAAATTAATCACTTAATTAATTTCTTCTTTGGAGTTTTGACTTAGTTCGAAATAAGTTCATAAATTTTGATTCTCTGTATATTTTCAACTTGGTTAAAATTAGTCCCTAAACTTTGATTCAGTATAATTTAATCCCTTAATTGTGAGTGTTTAAAACATTCATCTTTTTTTTAATTAAAGGGATAAACACTAGGCTACGAACAACATCGAATGTATGACCTTCTACTTGTAAAAGGGTCCCCACAGCACTAAACCGTAAGGCTTTTCGTATTTAACGCTCAACAAATAACACAAATCCTTATAATATTTTGGGAAAATGACATAAAAAGGTTTAAAATTATAATATTCCAATTCAAACACCTAAGACTTCAAAATCTAGGGGAGGAAATGATGCTTGATTAGGTATTTTGCAAATATAGTTAAATGATAAAAATATCCTTGTATATATCAAAAAGTTCATTAATAAGTTATGAACTAATAATAATAAGTGTTGAACAACAAATGATAAAAAATATATTGACAATGACAAGTTAATAAGTTGTGAACTAACAATGACAGGTGTTAAACAATTAATGACAAGAAACATATTAGTAATGACAAATTTGATAGCTTTTTTTTTAAGGAAAAAAAAATCTGATACAAGAGTATTTTAGTTATTTGATCACATTTATAAAATACCAGATCAAGCATCACTTTCTCCTCTAGGATTTTGAACGCCTAGGTACATGAATTGGAATATTGCAATTATCAACCTCTTTTTATGTCATTTTCCCTATTTGTTTTTTGAAATGCAAGAACTAATATATTAACCGATTAACAATCTATTAGGACTAAATTATATTGATACAAAACTCAGTAACTGAGTTTTAATTAAATGAAAGTTATATGAATTAAATGATTAATTTTCTCAAATAAATAGGGTCAAGTTTTGTTTTAATACTATAAAAACATTTCTCCCCATATACAGAATTAAATAATCATTCAGTCAGTCGCGAAATGTTATTTTCCTGTATAGACTCAATGTTTTATTATTGCGTTCATTAAGTGCTTGGAAAAAGAATATAATTATATTATTTTAATATTAATTATATTTTGCAAAAAGCTTTTCATGATTTAGGCCTATCAGTTTGACCACAAATAATATACATCATTCATAATATATCTGATACACACACACATATGGTTAGACGTATATACATTGTGTACTATGTATTTGAATACCTATGCTCCTAGGTGTAAGAATTAATTAAACAGTTAGTTTTAATCCTAAATGTAAAATCTCTTAATCTATTTTATTTTTCATGTCTATGAAGCTTCCCTAATTAACTTGTATAATAAATTGATATATCAAGTCAATTGTATGAGATTAAATAATTTATTTGTCTTTTTTAATTTATCTCGGCCTGCTCTTAACTTGCATTAAGAAGAGGACGAGTAATTAGTAATAACGATGAAGAAACAGATGAGCGAGGAGCGAGGAGCGACAGAGCCATCGCAAGAGGAGACCGATGCTTTGGAACGTAGCCAGAAAAAGGTTCAAATGGAAGGTGGGGCAGAACCCAGTCTTGGACGGCCGGTAGTCCCGCGAGAAGAAGAGTGGATGCAAGACAAGCAGGCCCCGGTGAGGATGTCGTATAAGCAAGCCTGTTCCAATGGGTACAATAGTGGTAATAGTGAGAGCGTTGAAGAGAAGGACCTGGAATGGTGGAAAGGAGACAGATGGAAGGACAGGGTGATGATTGAACGGTCGAAAAAAGGGCCGAACATAGTTGTACTGCTTGAGTTCAAAAAGAGGCTTGCAAAAAAGTGGCAAACAACGCTGATTGTACGGTTGTTAGGGCGTATGGTACGGGAGGACCACTTAGGGGATAAGCTTCAGCGTTTATGGGGGTGAGGTAGAAACTAGGGGTGTTCAATTTGTCCAGTCCCGGTCCCCGTGAGCTCGGGACGGGACGGGATGGGACAGTAATCGAGACGGGACGGGACGCGGGATGGGGTCGTCCCGTCCCGGGATTTTTTTTTCTTTTAAAAATTATTTATTAATAATTATTATTAGATTATTCAATTTATTTATTAATAATAACTCTTATTTTTATGGTGATTTGTAGCTCTTAAGTTGTAGTATTATCTCAACAAAATCTCCTTCCTCAATAAAATAATTCATAAAGTCATTATATAGTTTTTTTTTATGATATTTTTTTTATAGTATTATTTTTACACCTTTTTTATGCTATATAATTAAGCTTTCTACATAATATTTTTTTATAATATTTTTATCTTTAAAAGCCCAATAAAAAATAAGTATTATAACATAAAAAAATTTATATAAAAAATTATGGTATCTTTTTTTTTTTAAAAAAAAAGGGGAAGCGGGACGTCCCGGTCCCGTCCCAGTCCCGACAGGATCGGGACAGGACCGCACGGGACGGGACACAGGACAAAATCCCTGTCTTGGCCCTGTTCACGGGGACGGGACCGGGACGGGCCTGTCCCGGTCTCATCCCATCCCATGAACACCCCTAGTAGAAACTGTGGAGATAGGGTCGAGATTCTTCTTTGCTAGGTTAAGCGATGCAGAGGACTATGAGTTCGCTTTAACCGGTGGGCCCTGGATGATCATGGGTCACTATCTTGCTGTCCAACCTTGGAAACCTGATTTCGATCCTGATGATGAAGTAGTCACAAAAATTGCCGCTTAGGTTCGGATACCAAAGTTCCCTCTTGACTACTATGATGAGGGTATCCTCAACATTGTTGGCAACTAGATAGAAAGGGTACTAAGGGTGGACTCAAACACGTTGCTTCGTGTTAAAGGTTGCTTTGCTAGAATTTGCATAGAGTTGGACCTGAACGCTCCACTGCTCCCTTCAATTCGGATCAATGGGAAAGAAAAGAAAATAGAGTATGAAGGCCTGCATCTAATATGTTTTACATGCAGCAAGTACGGCCACGATAGGGATCACTGCCCCAACCGAAGCACGGAGTGCAGCAACGGTGGAGTTGACGTCAGAAATGGCCAAGCTATAAGTGGGCACTCTAACACAGTCGTGCTTCAGTCCTATAGAGATGGTGATAGTGTTAACACTCAGGAGTTTGGGGAGTGGATGGTGGCGCCGAGTAGACGTCGAAACCAAAGGCGACCATCGGCGCCTGTGGAATCAAGGGGGAGGGATTCTAGGCGTGATAGCAGGCAGTAATCTGGCCAAACAATTAACAGATCAAGATTCTCAGTGCTTGAGGGGAGAGAAAATGATTATGAGAATGTTATGATCCCGATGTCGATATCGCATGAGAGTTTGCATGGAATCCGTAACGATCATCAGGTGAGCCAAAAGATTTTGAAGTCACGTGCACAACCCATGGGTAGAATGACAACCTTGGACCCATGAGTTAGACCAAGCCAAACTGAACTGGGCCGAGGCAGGAAAATGGGGAGCCCAATCGACGCATATCTGAACGTTAAAAAAAGACTCTATGTTACAGGGAAGACTAAAACAGAACTAACTTTGCTGCCATCAGCTCCTGTTGACAGCATGATAGTAGACAGGGATATTTCTCCGCAGATCACCCAGCCTGAGTCGGCCATGGTACTGGTCTCTCTCGCGAAAACAACGACGTCTCCGAGAAGCGCATCCAATCCAATCGACCCTGGAGCTGAAGAGGCCTCGGGCTTTGTTATACACTCGAACCCGTTACTTATGAGCATCGAGCAAGAAGAGCTTGCTATGGATGAGGGCCTGGTCAGGGCCATACAACTGTAAGTTACTGCTTTACTGTTAGTGCTACTCCTTCTCCTTAACTTTATGGTTCCCAGGAAGCTTTTTACATGGAATGCCCGAGGGGTGGGTGGAGTGCAGTTTGGTCGCCCATTGAATGACCTTCGAGCTCGGCATCACCTGGACTCGGTCGCCCTCCTTGAAACACGACAGAAAGGAGAAAAGGCAATCTCTTTAGCACGGAAACTGGGTTGGCAGAACTCTCATGTGGTGGAAACCCGTGGCTTTAGTGGTGGTATTTGGGTCTTTTCGAGTGATACCGTTAAGTTCAAGGTCTCGCGAACAGGGGATCAATTTGTGTTTGGAGTTGTGAATCATGGTGGACAAGATGAATGGTTTTTGACGGTGGTATACGTGCATCCAAACTCTGGCCTTTGAAGGGTCCTGTGGCAACAGCAGGCGAAAATAAGAAACACTGTTGAGGGCTCGTGGGGTGTGGTTGATGATTTTAATGCAGTCCTACGCCCAGAAGAACGCATAACACGAGGCCCCTGTAATGACTCAAGTGAAGATGTATATTTTAAACTATGGATTTCGGATTGCGGTATGATCGACTTGGATTTCCATGGCCCACGGTTTACTTGGAATAGGGGAAATAGTCAAAGCCGGTTGGACTGTGTCCTGGTGAATGATGGTTGGCATGCTACCTTTCCTCATGCAAAGGTCACTCATCTGCCAAAATATAAATTAGACCACTGCCCAATTTTACTTAGCCTTGACAGCAATGAGAGCTCAAGAGGCCACGGTCGTCCATTCCGCTTCTTTGCACCGTGGGTCATGCACTAGGAGTTTGCTGAGTTCGTAAAACAGAATTGGGTAAAACTGCCAAATTGGACCTCTTCTGTTTCCTCATTCACTGAGAAACTGAGACAGTGGGATAGGGAAGTTTATGGCAACATAAATAGGAAGAAAGATCATCTTTATAGGCAGTTAGACGACTTGAACAGGAAAATAGCAGCTATAGGATGGAGTGAGCATCTTGAGAAGCTTCGAAACGAGTTATGGATGGAACTAGAGGAGATATTATCACAGGAGGAAGTTATGTGGATTCAGTTTTCCAGGTGCAAATGGTATCATCATGGTGACCGAAATACCAGGTATTTCCACTCTATGGCTAGTTACAGAAAACGACAGAATCGAATAGAAGCCCTGCAGCTTGATTCGGGTGAATGGTCCTACGATGCAGCTGAGATTATGAATGTGGGGAGAATATTTTTTTAAAGAACTCTACACTGAGGAAGGCTCAAACATTCGCCATCTTCAGTTCCAATACAGCTTCCCCTCCCTTGACAACACTTGCTTGGAGTCACTCGGTAGCCCCATTGATAACCAAGAGATCAAGAGAGCTTTGTTCGATATGGGCCCCCTCAAGGCACCCGGCCTTGATGGTTTAAACCCTCTCTTCTATCAAAGTCAATGGGACACTGTTGGAGAATCCATTATTGAACAAGTAAAGCTGGTGTTTCAGGAACCTTCCTGTGTTAGACAGATAAATGGAACGCAAATCGTGCTTATTCCAAAGATGGAGCACCCTCAAACCATTCGTGATTTTCGACCTATTAGTTTGTGTAATGTCATATATAAGATTATTTCAAAGGTGATCTCCAATAGATTCAAAAGGTTCATGCTGCTAGTAATTGCCCCAAACCAGTGCAGTTTTGTTCAAGGCAGACAAAGTGCCGACAATATTATTCTCACTCAGGAGATCATTCACTCTATGCGCACAACAAGGAATAAACATGGATTCATGGTAGTAAAGATAGACCTTGAAAAAGCCTATGACCGGATCTGGTGGGATTTTATATTCGATTGTCTGACAGAATTAAACATTCCTATGTACGTCCGGAAGGTGATTGAAGCCTGTGTTTCCACTCCAGCTATGCAACTTCTTTGGAATGGTGCGAAGACTGATGAGTTTTGCCCTTCTAGAGGGGTATGTCAGGGGGATCCACTGTCACCGTATCTGTTTGTCGTCGCCATGGAGCGTCTGGGGCATCTAATTCAAGATGCAGTTAATAGTGGTGATTGGCGCCCTTTCAGGCTAAGCCAGCGGGGCATAGCTATCTCTCACCTATTTTTTGCGGATGATCTCATTTTATTTGCGAAGGCCAATATGGAGCAAGCAGGTACCATAAAAGCCATCCTGAATGACTTTTGCGCTATTTCAGGGCAAAAAGTCAACACTAATAAGACACGGGTCTTTTTCTCGCCGTGCATAAACCATACGAGGGTGACAGAGATCAGTGATTTCCTGGGCTTCACCCCCACCACTGATCTAGGAAAGTACTTGGGCATGCTGATAATTCATGAACGAGTGACAAAATCCACTTATAATGGGATTTTAGACAAAATGAGCTCTCGGTTATCTACTTGGAAGGTGAACACACTCTCATTGGCAGCACGGTCCATGCTAGTCTCTTCGGTCGTCGTGGCTATGCCATCTTATGCCATGCAAACTACCCTCTTGCCTAAGGATACTTGTGACAAGATGAGTAAGAAATATCGAGATTTCCTTTGGGGAAGCACTATGTCCGCATGAAAGGTGCACCTCTTATCTTGGGAGAACGTATGCAGAAGTAAGGCAAATGGGGGTCTTGGTCTTCGTAAGATGAGAACCCAGAATGAAGCTTTTATGATGAAACTTGGGTGGGCTTTAATCAAAAGGACTGATATGCTCTGGGTAAAATTTCTGCGCGAGAAGTACAAATGTGGGAATGATATCGTCCCTAAGGTTGAACACCAAAGGAAAGCTTCCAGGACTTGGTCGGGCATTTGCTCTAGTTGGGGCAAAGTCAGGGACGGTCTAGCATGGCGTATGGGAGAGGGACAAACAGTCTCTTTCTGGCGAGATACATGGGTCCCTCACCTTTGACAAATTGGAGAACATATCAAGTGTTAAAGTCCCCCACAAGGCCAGAGAATGGAAAGTAGCAGACTGTGTTACGGCATCAGGTGCTTGGGACTGGCCTAAATTTAGGCACCTCCTTCTGCAGTATGTGAATAAGGCTATCGCTGGAGCGAGTGTCATGATGAACAATGGGCCGGACATCTTGGTATGGTGTTGGTCTTCTAATGGTGTTTTTACGATAAAGTCGGCTTACAATCATATTAGCAGCCAAAACATCTCGAGCACTAGTAAGGTCTGGAACCAGATTTGGAAGCTTAAGGTTCCCCAGAGATACTGCGCCTTCCTTTGGTTGTATGCTAATGACAGGATCCTGACTAATAGTGCTAGGTGGAAATGTAATATCCCAAAAAAAAAATAAAAAAAAAGAAATAATTGAAATATAGTATAATATAATATAATAATATTATAAAATTAAAAAAAAAGTCAAACTTTCCACCGAAATCGGTGGAAAGTTGGGGGAGGGGGCGGTGGAAAGTTGGGGGTTGGGTTGAAAAACCCCTCCCCCCAATAAATGTGCAGGGGGTGTTAAATACACCCCCAGCAATCCATTCTCCCCCCCCCACGGCAGACGGCAGGCGCAAGAAGGAGCGAGAGAGAGAGAGAGAGGAAGTGTGTGTGAGCGAGAGAAACATACCGGTGAAACAGAGGGCAAGCTTTGAAGATATTTTAGGTACATGAAATTATCTCTTTTCATCAAACTTTCTTCATAAATATTTCATATATATTTTATGCTTCATAATAGTAGTATTACCCTAGTGATTAGAGAAAATTTTGAGACTTATATATGATCTAAGTATTGAGTTTTGACAAAAGATGACTAGAGAAATTTAGAAGTAAATCAGTTGTTAATTTTAATCGGTTTAGATTTCTCTATTTGTTAGTTTTAGTATTTAAATTAATTTATTTAGTTGAAAATATGTTATTTATGGGATATACCATATTTTTTACCTATTAAATTTAAGTCAAATAATTTATTTGGATTGTTTGATATATTATTAAGATTCTAGTCGGTTTAGTTTTATTTATTGGATGACTGGAGGTTTTAAAATAATTATTGTAGCTAAAAAGTCTATTATTTATGGAAAAATATATATATATGGTAGTTGTACCATTAAAGTTTTGATTAGATTATTTAGTTATAAATATTTGAAGTATTATTGAAATTTTTGATAGTTTGATTTTGAGGTTTAAACTTAAAAAGAGTGTTTTTAGAATTTTAGAACATGATAATTTTATATTTGGAAATTATTGAAAATCCTTTTTATTAAGGTAAATAATTTGGAGGTGGTAAATAAATAATTTGGCTTGTTAGAAATTTTAAGTTGTTTCTAAAATACTTAATAATTTTTGAGTTATGAGAATTGCGGGAATTTAGAGTAAAAATTTAATTAAATTAGAAACTTAAATAATATAGAGAAGTTTAATTAATTAATTTATATTAATATGTGGTTATATTAATTGTGTAGATTAATTATTGGTTGAGCAAAGGATTGACCTTGTGGTAATCCTAAGTATTGCTTTGGCGAGAGGTAACCACTTTCCACTTGTTATATGTGCTAATATGTTGTTTGTGAGTATTTTGCTATTTTTAGAATAATATTTGATATTTGGAACTTGAGTAGATATGTTATATCTTTTGAGCTATGAAAATTGTCTTGTGGGATTTTTTGGAATTGTGATTGAAAAGTTTGGAAAAAGATATATGATTTATATCTTATGGATTATACTGAGAAAAGATTGAGACATTTTTATTATATGGTGAATGATTGGTTATTATTTGGATTTTGGATTGAGTCCTATCCTACCACGTGGTAAGGCCGCCATTGGTGCACATTGGTTGGCTTCTTCTTTCGTCCCCCATAGTGAGGGATAGGCCTTTGTGGCTTCTTATTCGTCCCCCAGAGTGAGGGATAGGCCCATATGTTTGATTGATCCCCCAGAGTGAGGGATGGACTTATGTGGCTTGTGTGTTGGCCCCCATAGTGAGGGTTTGGATGATTGAAATTATATTTCTATGGATATATCTATAGTTCTCGAGAATTTATAACTGTCCCACTTGACACCTCACGAGCACGTGTTAGTATGTATGATGAGTTGGAAAGTTGGTTACTGAGGCATTTGTCTCACCTTGTGGTTTAACATTTTCAGGCCATAGTTCAGGTGGTGGCCCATCAGGGAAGGCTCCGGAGGCATAGTGTGCTGTTATAGTTTGTATAGCCTCCTTGCTTTTGTTCTATGTGCTGACTTGTTATATATTGCCACATAGGGCTCATCTACTATCATGATGTAAAATAATACTTTTAATTACTACTATCTGGTATGATAGGGTCGTGAGGAGGCCCGAGACATTTTAGACTCTGCGTGTAACGCTCCTTTGAAAGTGTTGACTTTTGACTAATGGGCTCTATAGTTTATATTAAACTGATTTATCAGTTCGTATGGTTGAAAATATAAGTTTGGTTTGGGCTAATGGTTGAATAATATTTCTGGACTTTGGAAGTCCAAGGCCCAAGGTAACGATCGATGTGGCTCTTATTATAAGTTTATTTCTTTTAACCATGATAGCGATTTTAAAATTTTAAGGTTTCTTCTTTTCTATCATGGTTAATCATTCAAATAAATTGTTAGATTTAATCTAATATAGTTTTGAAAGAGCGGTTGTCACAATTTGGTATCAGAGCTAAAGATTCTGTGAAGTGGGTTGCATTACATTGCATTTAGTGGCAATATATAATAATCTCACATAACCTTCCCTGTTACTTTGTATCTGTGTTTGTCCTTACTTTGTGTTTCTTTTGGTGGGTTCCATCTTTAGGTGGGGAGGATGGTACGGACGTGATCCCGACAAACTGATCAAGGTGGGGATGAATCCACAAACCCACCTAATCAACCACCGAATCCTTTGCAGTTTAACCAGGAGACTTTACTGCAATAGTTAAGGGAAGTGGTAGTTACGGTGGTAGATGAGAGAGTACGAAAGATGGAGGAAGATTTGAGAGTCAAGAAAGCTGTGGAAGAGTTTGAAGGGAGTGGGCTTCCTGGACCATCTGTGGGAAATTCTGTCACCCACAGAGGATTCTATTAAAGGAACCAGAGAAGAGAGTAGTTCACAAAGGCGACCAGGAAAAGAAAGAAGAAGCGGTGAACCTTAAAAGCATATGGAAGGACATAGAGCGGCATCACCCAAAGACGTTTGATGGGGGTATGGATCCTGATAAAGCTGAGGCTTGGATAGATGACATGGAGACAATATTTATAGCTTGTGGCTGTAATACCTACCAAAAGGTAGAAGCATCGGTAGTTTTACTGAGGGACCGAGCTAAGAGGTGGTGGAGGAGCGTAAGCGGCATAGATGACTCGGGGATTACTTGGAACGAATTCAAACAGATGTTCTTTGATCACTACTTTCCCCCAGCCATGAGACAAGAAAAAGAAACAGCTTTTTATGCTCTTCGACAAGAGAACATGCATGAGGATGAGTTTATTGCCAAGTATATTGACCTTCCAAGCATGTTACCTATCTGCAGCATAATGATAACCCAGAGTGGATGGCCCGACAATTGATAGAACGGGCGAGGCCAGAGTTGAAGCAGCAAATGGCCTTATATGAGTTTAAGAGTTTCGAGGATGCCTGCACGAAACTCAAGATGACAGCTCACAGAACCTGAGAGGTAGAGGAGAGCTGACGTCGGGATAACCAGGGCAGATTCTCTGGTTTTATGAGGCCAATGGGAGGAATCAATAAAAAGAATAACTACAGTTATGGGAGCTCAGGTAACTCAAGCAGAGGCAAGAGCCAGAATCAGAAGAATTCAGCCCGTGGAGGCTTTATGCAAAGGAGACAGGCTCAGGGGAGCCGTATAGGGGGAGATCGAAGTGTCCACCATGAGCCTACCAGATCCACCCCAAGTGTTAGTGGTCCTTGCATGAGATGTGGGAGAAATCACCCAGGACAGTGTTGGGAATGCTACCGATGCCATAAGTTCGGACATAAAGCTCGCAATTGTCCAGAGATGCAGCAGCAAACTCCTAGTTTCAAATCCACGGTGCCAGGGAGAGTTTTTTTGCTTTGACTAGAGAGGAAGCTGGTATGTCTCCTAATCTGATTAGAGGTATGTCTCTCTTCAAGGACATGATATACCTGTGTTGTTTGATTCTGGTGCCACTCATTCTTTTATTGCTGCGGAATGTGCTCAAAAGTTTAAATTTCCAATGCATGATTTGTCTTACATGTTGAAAGTGTCAACTCCAGCGGGAGCCACTGTGTTAACCACACAGGCGTGTTTAAGTCTTGTGCTTAAATTTGAGAATCGTGAGTCTGTGATTGATTTGATTTGTCTACTCCTCAAGGGTATTGAGGTGATTATTGGTATGGATTGGCTATCAGCAAATAATGCCATTCTGGATTGCAAAAGGAAGATAGTAACTCTTCCTCTGTGCACTACGATAGTTGAGGCTATTAATGGTCGTTTGGGGTTGTCTGCTACTCAAGCAACTAAGTGTATTCAGAAGGGTTGTCAGGCGTATACTGTTTTCTTTTCTGTTCGTACGGATAAAGAAGTTGGTATAGAGCAAATCGAGGTAGTAAAGGAGTTTCCTGAGGTATTTCCTAAGGAAATATCCGGTTTACCTCCTGAAAGGGAAGTTGAATTCTCCATTGAGCTAGTACCAGGGACAGCTCCAATTTCTAAAGCACCGTACAGAATGTCACCTTCTGAATTGGCAGAGCTGAAAAAGCAAATCGAAGAGTTACTTGAAAAAGGATTTATTAGACCAAGTGTCTCCCCATGGGGATCACCAGTACTGTTTGTGAGAAAGAAGGATGGGAGCTTGAGATTGTGTATAGATTACAGGCAGTTGAACAAAGTGACTATCAAGAACAAATATCCTTTGCCTAGGATTGATGATTTGCTAGATCAGTTAATGGGGTCAGCGGTGTTTTCCAAGATTGACTTAAGGTCGGGATATCATCAATTAAGAGTTAGAGCAGAGGACATCCCGAAGACGGCCTTTCGTACTAGATACGGACATTATGAGTTTCTAATAATGCCTTTTGGTTTGACGAATGCTCCAGCGGTGTTTATGGACTATATGAACCGAATCTTTAGGCCGTATTTGGACAAGTTTATTGTGGTGTTTATAGATGATATCCTGATATACTCTAAGAATGAGGAAGAACACCGAGAGCATCTTTACATTGCATTGCGAATATTGAGGGATCATCAGTTATATGCTAAGTTGAGCAAGTGCGAGTTCTGGCTTAAAGAAGTGAAATTCTTAGGCCATGTAGTATCTGATGAGGGAGTAGTTGTTGATCCTAGCAAGGTCGATGCCGTATTGCAATGGCAAACACCAAAATCTGTGACGGAGGTAAGAAGTTTCGTGGGCTTAGCTGGGTATTATCGAAGATTCATCAAGGGATTTTCTCAGATCGCCATGCCTCTAACTAAGTTGACTAAGAAAGACCAACCGTTTATCTGGAGTGAAAAGTGTGAGGCAGCTTTCCAAGAACTGAAAGCTAAGTTGACTACGGCTCCAGTGTTGACTATTCCAGATCCTAGTAAACCGTACACCCTTTACACTGATGCTTCACTTAAGGGTTTAGGGTGTGTCCTGATGCAGGAAGGAAAGGTGATTGCATATGCATCTAGGCAATTAAGGCCACATGAGGAAAATTATCCTACACATGACCTGGAATTAGCGGCGGTGGTTTTTGCATTAAAGATCTAGAGGCACTACTTATATGGATCACAGTTTGAAGTCTTCAGCTATCACAAGAGCCTGAAGTATTTAATAGATCAGAAGGAATTGAATAATAGACAACGCCGGTGTATGGAATTCATCAAGGACTATGACTTTGAGCTTAAGTATCATCTTGGTAAAGCCAATGTGGTTGCAGACGCTTTGAGTAGAAAAACGGTGTATGTGTTTCACATCACATGAGTCTGGAGGAACACTACTGCTTAGAGAGATTGAGAGATCTCCAAGTGGTGCATGAGGCTCCAGCCACTCTACAATCAATTTTGGGTGATTATGAGTTCTTTCGAGACTTGAAGGCTGCACAGATGGATGATGAAAGGTTACTGAGCATCCGAGAGGAAGTGGAGACCCATGGTGTGCCTGATTATGAAATTGGTGAAGAAGGAATCCTGAGGTACAAGAAGAGGATTTGTGTTCCTAATAATGAGGAAATCAAAGGACTATTCTAGAAGAGGCGCATCGAAGTAATTACACGATACAGCTAGGGATAACCAAGATGTACCAAGACCTGAAAAAACTACTGGTGGCTAAAAATGAAGAGGGATGTCACGGATTTTGTAATGAAGTGTCTGACATGTCAAAAGGTCAAGATAGAAACCTCAGAGACCACCAGGACTATTAAAGAATCTCGATATTCCCCAATGGAAATGGGATAGCATTTCTATGGATTTCATTACTGGTATGCCAAGAACCCCGGCTGGCTATGATGCGATATGGGTAATTGTAGATAGATTGACTAAGTCAGCGCACTTCCTGCCTATCAAGAGTACTTACTCGTTAGAACGATTGACAAAGTTGTATATAGATGAGATTGTTCGACTTCATGGAGTACCGGAGTCTATCATTTCAGATAGGGACCCAAGGTTTACATCGAACTTCTGGCAGTCATTACATGAAGCCATGGGCACTAAGCTCAAGTTTAGTACTGCTTATCATCCTCAGACTGATGGACAGACTGAGAGGACGATTCAGACTCTCGAGGACATGTTGAGGGCTTGCGCTATAGAGCTAAAGGGTAGTTGGGACACTCACTTGTCATTAGCAGAGTTTGCCTATAACAACAGCTATCACGCTAGTATTCAGATGGCACCATATGAGGCTTTATATGGAGGAAATGTAGATCTCCACTTTGTTGGACTGAATTAAGTGAAAGAACAATTATTGGCCCAGATTTAGTGGACATCACAACCAGAAGATTGAGCTGATCAAGCAGAAGTTATTGATGGCCCAAACCAAAGTCGACAGAAGAGTTATGCAGACCGTCGGAGGAGACCTATAATTTGAAGTGGGTGATCATGTATTTCTGAAGGTTTCACCTGTTACTGGTGTTGGTAGATCTATCAAAGCCAAGAAGCTTACACCCCGATTTATGGGTCCTTATGAGATTTTGGAGCGGATTGGACCTGTTGCATATCGAATTGCGCTGCCGCCACATCTTCCAGTTTACATGACGTGTTCCACGTGTCACAATTGAAAAGTATCATCCCAATCCGTCTCATGTTATTAAACCCGAAGAGGTCGAGTTGCGAGATAATTTGACCTATCCAGCAGAACCAGAGCAGATTTTGGATGTTAAGGATAAACAATTGAGGAACAAAACTATCCGTCTTGTTAAGGTCTTTTGGAAGGACATGAGTCCCGGTGATGCTACTTGGGAGACAGAGGAACGGATGCGTTACGAGTACCCTTACCTGTTTTCTTAGTAAGCACTTTGAGTTACTTTTGTTTTTATTTCTTGTGTGTGGTTGTTTAAATTTTGGGGACAAAATTCTAATTAGGTGGGGAGAATTGTAATATCCAAAAAGAAAAAGAAATAATTGAAAATAATATAATATATATAATAATATATTTTATAATTTTAAAAAAAAAAAAAGTCAAACTTTCCACCGAAATCGGTGGAAAGTTGGGGGAGGGGGCGGTGGAAAGTTGGGGGTTGGGTTTGAAAAACCCCTCCCCCAATAAATGGTGCAGGGGTGTTAAATACACCCCCAGCAATCCATTCTCCCCCCCCCACGGCAGACGGCAGGCGCAAGAAGGAGCGAGAGAGGAGAGAGAGGAAGTGTGTGTGAGCGAGAGAAACATACCGGTGAACAGAGGGCAAGCTTTGAAGATATTTTAGGTACATGAAATTATCTCTTTTCATCAAACTTTCTTCATAAATATTTCATATATATTTTATGCTTCATAATAGTAGTATTACCCTAGTGATTAGAGAAAATTTTGAGACTTATATATGATCTAAGTATTGAGTTTTGACAAAAGATGACTAAGAAATTTAGAAGTAATCAGTTGTTAATTTTAATCGGTTTAGATTTCTCTATTTGTTAGTTTTTTAGTATTTAAATTAATTTATTTAGTTGAAAAATTGTTATTTATGGGTATACCATATTTTTTACCTATTAAATTTAAGTCAAATAATTTATTTGGATTGTTTGATATATTATTAAGATTTTAGTCGGTTTAGTTTTATTTATTGGTGACTGGAGGTTTTAAATAATTATTGTAGCTAAAAAGTCTATTATTTATGGAAAATATATATATGGTAGTTGTACCATTAAAGTTTTGATTAGATTATTTAGTTATAAATATTTGAAGTATTATTGAAATTTTTGATAGTTTGATTTTGAGGTTTAAACTTAAAAGAGTGTTTTTAGAATTTTAGAACATGATAATTTTATATTTGGAAATTATGAAAATCCTTTTTATTAAGGTAATAATTTGGAGGTGGTAAATAAATAATTTGGCTTGTTAGATTTTAAGTTGTTTCTAAAATACTTAATAATTTTTGAGTTATGAGAATTCGGGAATTTAGAGTAAAAATTTAATTAAATTAGAACTTAAATAATATAGAGAAGTTTAATTAATTATTTATATTATATGTGGTTATATTAATTGTGTAGATTAATTATTGGTTGAGCAAAGGATTGGCCTTGTGGTAATCCTAAGTATTGTTTTGGCGAGAGGTAACCACTTTCCACTTGTTATATGTGCTAATATGTTGTTTGTGAGTATTTTGCTATTTTTAGAATAATATTTGATATTTGGAACTTGAGTAGATATGTTATATCTTTTGAGCTATGAAAATGGTCTTGTGGGATTTTTTGGAATTGTGATTGAAAAGTTTGGAAAAAGATATATGATTTATATCTTATGGATTATACTGAGAAAAGATTGAGACATTTTTATTATATTGGTGATGATGGTTATTATTTGGATTTTGGATTGAGTCCTATCCTACCACGTGGTAAGGCCGCCATTGGTGCACATTGGTTGGCTTCTTCTTTCGTCCCCCATAGTGAGGGATAGGCCTTTGTGGCTTCTTATTCGTCCCCCAGAGTGAGGGATAGGCCCATATATTTGATTGATCCCCCAGAGTGAGGGATAGACTTATGTGGCTTGTGTGTTAGCTCCTATAGTGAGGGTTTGGATGATTGAAATTATATTTCTATGGATATATCTATAGTTCTCGAGAATTTATAACTGTCCCACTTGACACCTCACGAGCACGTGTTAGTATGTATGATGAGTTGGAAAGTTGGTTATGAGGCATTTGTCTCACCCCGTGGTTTAACATTTTCAGGCGATAGTTCAGGTGGTGGCCCATCAGGGAAGGCTCCGGAGGCATAGTGTGCTGTTATAGCTTGTATAGCCTCCCTGCTTTTGTTCTATGTGCTGACTTGTTATATATTGCCACATAGGGCTCATATACTATCATGATGTAAAATAATACTTTTAATTACTACTATGTGGTATGATAGGGTCGTGAAGAGGCCCGAGACATTTTAGACTCTACGTGTAACGCTCCTTTGAAAGTGTTAACTTTTGACTAATGGGCTCTATAGTTTATATTAAACTGATTTATCAGTTCGTATGGTTGAAAATATAAGTTTGGTTTGGGCTAATGGTTGAATGATATTTCTGGACTTTTTGGAAGTCAAGGCCCAAGGTAACAATCGATGTGGCTCTTATTATAAGTTTATTTCTTTTAACCATGATAGCGATTTTAAAATTTTAAGGTTTCTTCTTTTCTATCATGGTTAATCATTCAAATAAATTGTTAGATTTAATCTAAAATAGTTTTGAAAGAGACTAGGCTTTGTGAAGTATGTGGAAAAGAACAGGAGACTGTTGTACACTCGCTTCGGGACTGCCACCTCATGCACTCTCTATGGCGTGCTATCCTCCCTAGACACATGTGGAATGACTTTTTCCTACCGAGATCTCCCTTCGAATGGATCAGTTGGAACATCAGATTCACAGCAAGGATTGACAATGTCAAGTGAAGCTGGTGGTTCGCCGTGATTGTAGGAACATTTGGCTTGTCCGAAATGAGCGTGTGTTCCAAGGGAAGGTACCTCGTTAGGAAGAAATCCTTGCCTGCTCACGTGCATGCCTCGCTTGGGGACACCGGGATCTATTAAGGAACCAGGACTCTCCTAGCTGTATGAGCCGTTGGACGCCTCTACTCGAAGGCACGGTTAAAGTCAATACGGATGGCTCCTTTAACCCCACAACCGGAATGTGTACAAGTGGTGGACTAGCTCGCAACCATACTGGTGAGTTTATAAGAGGCTTCATGTTCAAAATGGCTACTGGCTTGTGCTACACAGCTGAAGCTTGGGGTATCTTGTGGGCTCTAAAGTTGGCCTGGGAATGGGGACTGACTAATGTTGTGGTGGAGAATGATTGCTACGAAGTCCTTCATGACATTGAAACGGAGCTATCCCCTGAACATCCAGAATTTGAGCTGCTCCTAGAGATTCAAAATATGCTGAAGAGATCATGGACTATCGACCTGGTACATTGCCTTCGTGATGCAAACATTGATGTCGATCGTATAGCTGCTGAAGCATATCAGCTGACGAACGACTTGGTGATTCTGTTTGAGCCTCCAGAGTTTATCCAGAATCGACTACTTGAGGATGCTTCGAACGTTGAGGGGGCTGCCTTGAGGGGGTAGTCTTTGTATTTTCCATTTATGTTCAAAAAAAAAAATAACGATTGGTCCGCGCTGCGATCCAATGCATGGAGGTCTATCCCTGCCCTGTGATTAGACTGAGTAGACCACCGTGAGGTCTACCCACTCATTTCCATCTCTGTTACTGGAATCTATCACTCTCTTAAAACTTGCATATAAGGGTTTTTATGAAAATGAGTTTACAGCGAACAAGATAAGTAAGAAAAACTTTCATCTCGACTTACGGGAAAAAATTTTTTAAGATATTTTTGTTGTCCAACACCTCTAAGATTGTTTTGATTCTCTAGTCAAGAGGTACATCAAACAATTTGTTTTATTGGAAAAAAAGTCATTATTTTTCTTGCTTTTCAAAAAAAGTCGTCAATTTCACAGCCTAGGTATGGATATTACTAATAGTATAATCAACACCATGGTAATTAAAGTGATTAATTTCCATAAAAAATATTGATAATATCTTGAATACAAATAAAATTTATCAGGTTACAAGACATTGTTTAGTAATAAACAAGACGATATGTTGCCCATTATAAAATCACATCTGATGAATCAGTCGCAGAGAGAAAACATAACCTATAAGTCAAAATTAACAAAACAAAATCGATAGGGTTAAGGTGTATTTATCTTTAAAATATTTTTTTCCAGCAATACTCAATGTATTAAACTAATGTGTGGTTCATGCAATGCCATAAAATATTGTTTTAGTAATACCTAGTATTCTAAAGTATTTTTGGTACAATATTTCCCTTAAAATTTTGTCTCAACGGCAATAAACGTTTTAAACTTATGGTATTGATGAATGTTATCGGAAAAAAAAATACTTTAGAGTACTAGATATATAAAGAAATTGCTAGAAACTTTAAGATAGAGTATTATTGAAAAAAGACTTTAAGAAATTAAATGAACAACAAATTAATTTAAGACATTAAGTGTCAGTGAAAAAAAATATTTCAGGGCACTTAATCTAACTTATCCCAAGCCAATAAAAATAAATTTTATGTTTGATAGTAGACTAAATATGGGTGGTTGTACAAACTAACTTGATTTTAACTCGCGCATCTTGTAATACATGGAGAACGTGAAATACAATTTAAAGTATAAGTCTTTCAAGTTTAATTCAAACAGGAAGATGATTCATATTCGAGTTTTTGTATATATAATTGTAGAAAACCACAGCCCAAAACTATCTAAACACACAACTTGAACAGACTTATCAATTCTTCGTTAATTGGAAATGTGTACATAGCACCATATTGAGAAAATACAAGGGACACAATATTTATAGAGCAGTACAAGACGCCACTAATAACAAAACATAGCATTTAACACGAAAACTATACAACAGGAAAGCTAAATGACAACACTAAAACGACATCCTATTTTCATCACTTCCCCTTAAGTTTGGGGCTAAAGATGTCTGTAGTCCCCAACTTGCTTAAAAATTTCTTCTGTATATCTCCTACCATTGTCTTGGTAAGGAGATCAGCTTCTTGATTGTTAGATCTTACATGCTTCAAGTCAATGAGTTTTGATAGCCACTTTTCTCTAATAAAATGGCAATCAATTTCTTTATGCTTGGTTTGCTCGTGAAACCCAGGGTTTGCAGCAATATGTATCACCGCTACATTGTCATAGAACATATTTACTGGGTCATTGTGCACTCATCAATCCAATGGCCTAAACAGCTTCAGATGTTGCCATGCTTAGTGCCCTTGTATTTTGCCTCTGCTAATGACTTTGAAATAGTGCTTTACTTATTAGTTTTCCTTATTAGCAGCGAGCCTCCCAATTTTAGCAAGTACCTGGTGATAGATCTTGTCATTACACACGAGGCCTAATCAGAATTACAGTAGCACTCAAACACCAGATCTCCTTCTGAACTAAGGAATATCGCTAAACTAGGGCTTCCTTTCAGGTACCGAATCACACTCTTTACAGCTGCGAGGTGTGTTTTGGTGGGTTTTTCCATGAATTAACTAAGGATCTGCACACAGAAGCATATGTCAGGCCTAGTTATAGTCAAATAAATCAACCTACCCATTAGTCTTCTGTATTTTCCCGGTTCTCTGAGCAAGTCCTCTTTCTTGTCTCTCTTTTCATCATAGGCAAACAACTTTAGATATTGTGCCATTAGGATTGTCAAGGGCTTGCAACCAGACATACCTATTTCAAACAGCAAATTCAATATATATTTTCTTTGAGATAAAACAATTCCCTTTTAAGACCTAGCAATTTCTATTCCCAAAAAATATTTCATTATCCCAAGGTCTTTTATTTTGAAATTATTGTCAAGGAATTTTTTGGTTTCATTGATCCCTACCTTTGTGCTTCCTGTTATAAGCAAATCATCCACATAAAATAAAACCAAAACAACTCTATTGTTAGAGTGTTTGATAAAAAGAGAACAATCAGACTTGCTTTGGTTAAAACCATCTTTTCGCTGTGCCTCTGACAGCTTTTGATTCTATTGTCTTGAGGCCTGCTTCAAACCATACAGAGATTTATTGAATTTACAGACCTTTTACTCCCTTGTTTTTCTCAAAACCCTAAGGAATTTTTATATAAACTTCCTCATCAAGGTCTCCCTACAAGAAAGCATTGTGAACATCCATTTGATAAAATTTTCATTTATTAATAGTAGCTAATTTCAAAACAACTAACAATGAACATTTTCACAACTGAAGAGAAGGTCTCGTGATAATCAATCCCTTCCTTCTAGTTGTATCCCTTAACTACCAATCTAGCTTTATATTTGTCTATACTGCTATTAGAGTTGTATTTTATCTTATAAACCCACCTACAACCTATGGGCCTCTTACCCTTAGGTAAAGGCGCTATGGTCCAAGTCTTGTTATGTTCTAGTGCTTCCATTTAAGCTTTCATAGCCTTAATCCATTCCTAATTTTCCACAGCCTCTTCATAACAAGATGTCTCACTATTGGAACCCACAGAATTCAAAAGCACATATAGTCAGCAGAGAGATTTGAGTAAGAAAGGTAATTATCAATTGGATACTTGCATTTTCTTTTATTGAGCATTCCAAGTCAGATTGCACCATTACAAACATAATCATTTGACCAAATAGGGGGTCTCGTCTCACGCACTAGCCTAGGTTGAGGAGAAACAAGATGGTTGTTGTTATCATTATTGTCGTTATCTTCTCCATTCGCTCCTACTCTCTCTGTATTGTTCATAAGTAAACTATTGTTTAGTTCCTGTTCATTAATTCTTGTAATTGTTTTTTGTATTATTTGAAGCAGTTGGGATTCTTTCAGATTTAAACTAAAATATTGATTTTAGGTTACTGCACTTTCCCCCTTGAAAACTATCCCTTATATCTTTAAAAGGGAATTTGTCTACAACAAAACTCACATGTCTGCTCACAAAGAGGTTTTTGCTTTTCAAATTAAGTAAGATAATCCTTTTTTATTTTTTGGGTATCCTAAGAATACAGCTGGAATGGATCTAGGCTAAAGTTTGTCAGTGGCATAGACAAAGCAACCAAAAGTTCTTAAGTTGTTCAAAGCGGGCTTAACACCATATACTCTCTCATAAGGAGTTTTATAACCTATCACTTTAGATGGAACTCTTTTGATTAAATGAGTGGCTATCTTCACACACTCTTCCCAATACTT